TTCTGGTCTCTAGATCAACACTGAGTGGAACAGTTCCATATTAGGACCACCATTCTGCAGCTTCTTAAAGGGATTGTTTACTGGCAAACACTTCAAAAGGCCTGGGGGTACTTATAACAGAACACTTATTTTTAGTACGTAGGACAGCAGGTATGGGGACATGCAAAGCATTTTTAGTTTACTTAACAGTGGTAAATGAACATACACTGAAGCTAAGTATATATACACACATGCACAAAAGCAGGCTTGCAGGGCAGTCAGAAAACCTTTGCCTGAATGTGTGTTTGTTAATACCCAGGAATGAGAAGGTCTGTTTGTGTGCCAGGCCAGCTGTGCTGCCAGTGGGGAGATGAAGGATGTGTGCCTTGTTAAAATGTCTCAAACATTCTTTGAGAGCCAGGTCAACCTGACAATCCACTGCATCCATTTAAAACGTTTTTATAACCTCCAAACGGTGTATAAACTTCCAAAATAATCTTTGATGAAAGCAAAATGTGTGAATATTTAATTTTATTAGACAAGGCAGCAAAAAGTTGTGTTTATACTTGGTTATAGCTCTAAAAAATAAAGCAGTTCTAATAGATGGCTTTAAAAAACAAAGCAAAACAAAGCTTATAAAATCACTCTATATATTTCTATTCTACTCTATACAGAAGTAAATGGGAACTAAAGGCTTAAATCAACAAAGAAATTCATCTAATCTTTTTATGGCCTTTTGTTTAGCCACACAAAAACAGCTTTCTAATGAAGCTTATGCGGAAGTTCAGCAATTAAGATCTATAATCGCTTTTCAGCTGCTAGCAGTAACTGCTAGCACTGCAGTCCTAAGTTGCATGCGAGTAGTCTTGTGTTACAGAAGTGCTAAAGCAAAAAAATACACTGTTTGTACATCCACTGCAGTCCTAAGTTGCATGCGAGAATGTAGATGCCCACTGCAGTATTATCAGAGTTTAAATAGTCTTCACCCTCCAAACTCCTTACTGCAGAGTGTGTGTGCCATTTCATTTTTGCTGATGTGAGAACTGTGCTGGAGAAGTGTAAGTGTCTTATTTTGCTCATCTCCTACCGGAGTCTAATCTCCAAATACACTGATTAATTACGTTTATTTTTTCCAAATGATCTCTCCTCATTCAAATGAAGTTAAAGCTGAATTTCATTCAGACTTTTTCCCTGTGAAATGGGGGTGTGAAAGACACACAGAGAAGCAGCAGTACTGAAAGTAATTGAAGAGTTGCACGAGGACACATATTGGATGTTTTCTTTGCAACAACATCAGAGATATTGGTAAGCTTTTAGTATTGTACCACCTATGAGACACCCTTGAATAACCTGCACTTAACTCTGCTCTCTTCTTCTCATTTGTATTGCCTGACTTTATTTGACCTTGGTTCTGTCTGAGTCCCATGCTTCTCTACCTGGCCGCAATCCATAACAGTCTGGAAGCATGCTGAAGCAACACATGTACACGCTGTTCATGCGGATACAAGTATTTAGACAAACCAGATGACCCAGTATCTCCATCTGCTCTGGCTATAAATGTAGATCCAATTTTAAGCAAAGTGCTGCACACTGAATCCCTTCTGTTACACTCTGTCAGTGTACAGCAGTGATTCAGCACACACTCCACAGGTAATTGCTCACTTCAAAGACAACAAGCATTAATAACTCCTTTGCTCTGGAAATCACGTCACCTTCTTCCCCCCCTTCTTTATTTCCTCACTGTTTACATGCCCCTTTCCTCCTCTTTCCACTCCTTTAGGTGATTAATTTGTTTTGCGTTGTCATCTTTCAGCCGCTTCCGCTTTTCTTCTTCAGTTTTCTTCTCCTGCTTTTTTTTTCACCCCCCCTTTTGCTTTATTGTACTTGAAGAAGAGTTTAAGGAAGTAAAAGATGCCAGAATGGTAGAATATGGCTATTTTACTCAGTGAAATAGAGAGCAAAACACTGACTCGAAGAAATAAAAAGAGTCATTCTTACATACTTTTTGCTCTCACGTGGGTAATTAACTGGGTGTCTGTGACAGTGTGTTACTCTGGATGTCATTGTGGATTAAAATCATAACATTTCGCAAACAGACAAATGAAGATTGGACTGAGAATAGAGAAATAGACATCAATAAGACAATAACACAACTGCCTTCGACTCCGTGCTCTCCGCTGATTAATACATTGCTTAGCTGTAACTGCGTTTAGCGTAATGTTGACCATTAATCGAGGCTAACAGGAGGGTGGAAAGAAGATTGTTTGGATATATTTTCTTCATCAGCTGCTGTCACAATTTGTCATCCCGAGAGCCACGGCAGATTTGAATCACATCATGATGAACTGTAAGTAATATTTTCTGGAATTTGGCAATGGTTATTAAATAAGTGACAATGTTGGTTTAAACCCTGGGCTGTGGATAATTCTAGACAAATATGAGCAACGTCTCCATGGCAGTATGTTGCAGCTCTCAATATAACTCTAAACCATGGTTCATCCCTAAAGTATTCCTGAGAGTAAGGTGAATAATGACTACTGACAGCATTTATTGGTTGCAGGCCTCATGCTCCTCTGTTCATTGTTTATTTGAAAAATGAATACAGTGATGTTGTGAGCCATCTAGCTCCGTAGCTCAGCTCAGTTGGTATGCTATACCCAAATGGTAGGC